GTTTGCACGTGGGATCTTGCACATGAGGGGTTGTGCCCGCGGTTCTGCACGCCCGGTTGCACGGAGGACCGCAAGCAGAGTTGCGCAGCGGGTGTTGCGCGCCCAGTTGCATGGCGGGAGTTCGCAGGGAGTTTGTGTGTCTCGTTGCATGGGTGCTGCAGGCAAGTTTTTGCCTGTGGGGTTTTGCACGCCGGGTTGCGGGGAGGGGTGGGCTGCAGGGGGCGGTTTGCACCCGGGGCGTTGTATGGGTGACCGTGCAGGGGGTCGCGTGCCCGGTTGCGCAGAGGTTTGCCCACCCCGGGGTTATGCCGACGCGGAGGCAGGCGCTTTCCAGCTGTGCTCTGCCTGGCGGGCGCGTTCCGGTGCGGTGGCTGCAGGGGAGCTCGCCGCGGGGCGGGGGCTTTGGGCCTTCGGCGGTGCCCTGTTAGCGTCTCCCCACCGCTGGCTGGGGGGGCCTTGCGGTTAAAATGGCAAAAAAAAAGCCACAAACAAAGGATGCAAAACCCCTGGAACAGGGCAATGCGCAGCGGACGAGGTCATGGCGAAGCAAACCCGCTGGGTCCTGCCAGGTCTGGCCAACTCTCGGTCCAGGCCTCCCGCAGCCCCCCCATGACTGAGAAGAAGCTGCTGTGGTTGCTGTTAATTTGCACGATTTTGTGTTAATGTGCACGAAGGCAGCTTTGCAAACGTACGGGATATATAGGGGAGGGTAGATGCACGAGCAAACAGCTGTGTGATAGCGTAATTCTTCAGTTTTGAGGCCCCTCTGGGTGGATATATATGACCTATATACATCTGGAAGCATGGAAAACTTTCTTTCTATTTAAAATGAAATAATATTTCTATATTTAAAGCTTCGGTCCTGGAAGATGCTGATGTCCAGCCACGCCGTGGCTGCCGAATCGTGGCCGTAAGCCACTCACGTCCTTGATGCTAAGCGCGGGCCGGGGTGCTTTGCCAGGCTGGAAGTGTTGGGCCCCCCCTAGACAAGCAGTTCCAAATATTTATATGTTGATTCTTTCAACTCTGAGACACAAAGAGCCAGAGACATTTTGGCAACTTGGTGGCAGAAGAAAAAAAAAAAAAAAAAACAACAACCCCCACATGGGAATCCCTGGTCTATTCTGCTTTCTGTGAACCGAGTGGAGCAAATATTTCCTGTTTCAGGATGAAATAGTGGGCGTTCAGCCAGCCTGGTTCTGTGAGAAGGGGTTAAAAATGGGGTCAGAAAGCCTGAATCTTGCCAATTCGGTGCCATATTTGGTCTGGAAGGTATTTTATTTTAGGGGGTCTTGAGTACAAAGCCAGCCAGTGATGTCGGAAGGCAATGGCTGGTTTTGCCGAAGGGGAGGCCCCACCGCGAGGCTGCTGCGGCACTGAGGGCAGAGCATCGCGTTGTCTGAAACGGGACTTATTTGTGATAGCTGATAGCGAAGTGTTTAAAAACAGACATTTGGAAAAAATGCACATTGGGGAATAAAAGTTTGTTGGCGTTGAGGCAGGATTCAATAGCAGCAATATTCGGTCGTTGCAGAATTGCACTTAATGCTTGCTTCACCTGCTGAATAGCCAGAAAAAGGGGGTGTTTGGTCGGACGATGCAGCGAGCCTGCGTCCTGCCCGTGCAGGGGACGTCCTGGTCCGAGAGGCGTGCCGTGAAGGAAAATGGGAGAGTTAAGGAATAAAAGGAGGATTGTGCTTTTTCGTTTCGGATCCAGTTGCTCCGTGTGATGCTAATGGAAGTGGTTTGTGTTCAGTGCTCTTGTCGGGGCTTTAAGATCTGATGTAAGGTTGCTACTGACGGAGGTACCGGGACACTGGGGGAAGACAACTTGCAAATAATAAATGCAAACCGGTCTCAGCCCTCACCAGTGATGGTGTAAATCTGCACAAAATCAAGTTTCTTTCCCCAAAGCGCCATCCTCATCTGAACAGGTCTCTAAAAAAGGGGGTTGCAAACCGCAGAGCTGGTTACCTCCTCGCTGGCCCCGTGGAGGGCGGCTTCGAGCTGCTCGTCCGTAGTCGTCTGCGTTTCTGTATGCATCGCTGGCGTTTCTGGGGGTGAAACCAGGGCGCTGTTACTCCCCCCGTGGTTGCTCCTGTACAAGTGCTGTGCAAAAAGCAGCATCACCAACACCTGGAGTGAGAAACGAGCTCTAAAGCCACCTGAGGCTGGAGCATGTTAAATTGACCCAAACCCCCACTCTGCCGTGGGACAGCGGAGGGTGAGCAGAGGCGTTGGTGCCTGGGCGCTGCAAAGCCCCCGTGGGCTGCGGCTGCCCCGGCGCGTTGCACCCGGGTCCTGGGAGCCGTGCAAAGAGCAGGTGCGGCACGATGTGTTTCCCAAATAATTCGATGAAGTGGTGCTAGAAAACACCAGAGGCCTTGAGAGATGTTCTGCTTGCTTCTTGCCTGG